GTCTCTGTTTTCCATGCTGTCTCTCTGCCTGTCTGCTTGTCTCTGTTTTCCATGCTGTCTCTCTGCCTGCCTGTCTGCTTGTCTCTGTTTTCCATGCTGTCTCTCTGCCTGCCTGTCTGCTTGTCTCTGTTTTCCATGCTGTCTCTCTGCCTGCCTGCCTGCTTGTCTCTGTTTTCCATGCTGTCTCTCTGCCTGCCTGCCTGCTTGTCTCTGTTTTCCATGCTGTCTCTCTTTCTGCCTGTCTGCTTGTCTCTGTTTTCCATGCTGTCTCTCTGCCTGCCTGTCTGCTTGTCTCTGTTTTCCATGCTGTCTCTCTGCCTGCCTGCTTGTCTCTGTTTTCCATGCTGTTTCTCTGCCTGCCTGTCTGCTTGTCTCTGTTTTCCATGCTGTCTCTCTGCCTGCCTGTCTGCTTGTCTCTGTTTTCCATGCTGTCTCTCTGCCTGCCTGCCTGCTTGTCTCTGTTTTCCATGCTGTCTCTCTGCCTGCCTGTCTGCTTGTCTCTGTTTTCCATGCTGTCTCTCTGCCTGCCTGCCTGCTTGTCTCTGTTTTCCATGCTGTCTCTCTTTCTGCCTGTCTGCTTGTCTCTGTTTTCCATGCTGTCTCTCTGCCTGCCTGTCTGCTTGTCTCTGTTTTCCATGCTGTCTCTCTGCCTGCCTGTCTGCTTGTCTCTGTTTTCCATGCTGTCTCTCTGCCTGTCTGCTTGTCTCTGTTTTCCATGCTGTCTCTCTGCCTGCCTGTCTGCTTGTCTCTGTTTTCCATGCTGTCTCTCTGCCTGCCTGTCTGCTTGTCTCTGTTTTCCATGCTGTCTCTCTGCCTGCCTGCCTGCTTGTCTCTGTTTTCCATGCTGTCTCTCTGCCTGTCTGCTTGTCTCTGTTTTCCATGCTGTCTCTCTGCCTCGTTAGCCTCATGTCTGTCACCTGTGTCCCGCCCTGCTCGTTATCCCTGGTATATATGTGTGGTCTTTCTGTTCAGCCCTTGTCCGGTCATTGTTCGTGTTACCTTCTGTATGTGGTATACCTTGTATACAGTGTTAGCAGTGTTCTTGTCGTGAGGAGAAGCTCTGTCTGGAGATCTGCCTGAAACCTTGTCAACCTGTATTTGGACTTGTGTTCTCCCCTTGCCCTTGTGGATTCTTTTGGACTCAGCCACTGATAGTAAGTGCGCTCGCCTTTGGTTAATAAATCTTTGAACTATACCTGCCAGTCGTATGTCCTGCATTTGGGTCCCACCTGCTCAACCACCACAACACCCTTACAGCTCTGTGCTGAGACATGAACTACTCATGGGAAAGAACATTGTCTGGTGACATGTTGTGAAATGGGAGTCATACCTTAACTTACATGAGAACTCAACCACTGTGTCCACCCCATGGTGGAAGGCAACCAAGTAAATTTACTCAGGTACTGTACTTAAGTATAATCTTGAGGTGTCTTTTTTTTACACTAATTCATGACACTTTATACTTCTACTACATTACAGAGGGAAATAGTACTTTTTGTTCCATTACAAGTATTTGACAGCTGGAGTTAGTTGTTACTTTACAATGAATTTACATAAAAAAACATCTGTTTGAAGAACTTTAACTTTTTTAGAAATTTGATGCATTGTAAAAAAATAAAAAAGAAGCTACAGAATAAACAATTTGAGCTTAAATGGCTTAAATTGGTCAATTAATCAACTAATTGATTAGTTCATTACCAAAAAATGTATCAGCAACAGATTACTTGTAGTTTGCCACGCAACATGTTGCAGTTTATTGTTTGAGATTCTCAAATGTGGAGATTTGCTGCTTCTCCCTGTCCTAAATTACATCGAACTGACTGTTGTAGTCACAGATTCACTAAGTGTGATGGGCATTTCTCCCTATTTTGTTCTGTTTTACAAACCAAACAATAAATTAATTGATCAAGAAAAGAATCATCAGATTAATCCATGACATAAATAACCATTGGTTAAATTCTTAAAAATGAGCTCCAATTCAACCAACTACAAGACTAAAATGCAGCTTAAGCATAAATACCTGAGTTATAATAATCTAATGCTATTCTACATAACACAACATATATATCATCTCACAGGGGCCAGTACATTTACTTTTGATACTTTAGGTACATTTTGCTGATAATACTGAGACTCTGTCCTATAGAGGTGCCCTGAGTCAAAACATGCTTGTGTCAGGTTCTGGGCCCAAATGCAAGACACAGGAAGCTTACAGGATAACTTCTGATGATTAATTGACAAGAAAACTCCGTGTACACACTTACTAGGAGTGACAAATCCAAAAAACATAGTCCAACCAAACAGGGTATTACAACAAAGCAAGGTGATGGATCCAAAAGAAGTAGGCAAATATCCAAAAATCCTCTGACACAGGGAGCGAACAGGCAGGCAGATTTACTGACAGGGAATATCAGGCAGGAACACACAAGACGAGTAACAAGACAGAGCATGACAAGCTACAATGATCCAGCAAAGACTGACAGAAACAGTACACAATATACAGCTCTGGAAAAACTAAAGACACCATTCCAAAATGTTTCTGAAATCAGCGTCTCTATATGTATGGCAGCCATTCCGTTCCAGTGTCTGTTAAAATCCAACACAAGCACACCTCATTGTACTTAATGAGGTGCTGATCAAGTGATCACCTGAACAAAACCTTATATGAGAAAGTATAAAAACCGCTGCTGTAGTCATCACTATCCTCTTGCAATAGGACTAGCTTGTTTGTAAAAATGGTGCTAGTAGTACCTCAAAGGTAACTTGAATAAATAAAGAACAATTGACCATGTCAAGAGTTGAAAAAAATAGTTTTGAGTGAGGAAAAGATGGGTTCAATTCTGGCTTTACCGGAGAGGGATTCAGTGTGCATCAGGTTGCTTCCATCTCTAAAATTTCAAAGACAGCAGTTAATAAGAACAAGATCAAGCAACAGACAGTCGCGGCAACAAAGCTACAGACTGGCAGAGGGCTAAAACTGATTGTCCAGTGACCGGGATGACCCGCCAATTCATTCAGATGTCACTCAACAAGCGTAGAATGACATCAAGTGTCCTATAAAAAGAATGGCAAATGGCAGCTGGGGAGAAGTGCACAGTGAGGACGGTTTGAACCAGAAGAAATAAGCACTTCATCAAAGAGAAGCAAAGATGATGTCACAGGTTTGGGTTGGTTGGTTGGGTGTGTTTGTAGTTGTTTCCTGTGTTACGTTGTAGTTTTGTTCTGGTCTGGTCTGGTTTTACTCTGTGGTCTTTGCTTTTGAATAGGTTTTCTTAGTTATGTTTTATTTGGTGATATATTTCCTTTGTTGTTGTGAGCTTTACATCCTGTTTTAGTTTGTAGTTAGTCTACTCCTTCCCTGAATTTCCCCCGAATGGGTGAATGCAATGTAGTGTGTAAAAGCTCTTTGAGTGGTCGGAGGACTAGAAAGGCACTATACAAATACAGAGCATCATAATTTTTTCTAGAGCTGTGAACTGGTCTAGCGAGCAGGGCGGGAGCAAACAGGTGAGACACACAGAACACACACACCCCCGCGTGACAGGCAGGGTGATCAACAGGTCATACAAATCTGGGAAATCAGAAGGACAGGACACATAGCTGGGTATGAAACACAGACAGTTCCTAAAATAAACCAGGAACAGGCAGACACGTGCTCAAGCGAACAGAAGTGCAGATCAAAGCAAAAACAGCAGCAGGCACCGAGTAAAACAGGGAAACGGACTCAACACAACAGACCAAGATCATTACAAACTGGCAACAATTATGAAAATGGATTAATTGTTTAAGTCACATATCAAGGAACAAATGATCTGGATCCAGCTTGTCAAATGTTAATATTGATCAGTAAAGTAGTGGCTTGGCCGTGGGTTTGAATAATTCCAAAATGACACATTATTGGAATATTTTAGAATAAAAGTACACTAAGATAAGGTTATGAACTCATTCTAAGCACCATCGTCATTTGCACAGATCTAATCAGAGAGACATATCTTTTATTCAGGTGTATAGTAGCATGGCAGTTTGAATGAATATATATCTGTAAATTTGTTCATTCTGTTTGTTTAACCTACCTTGTGCGTGGTTTGTGTAAGCTGTGTATGTTTTGAACTGTAAGTGTGATTTTATTTTGTTTTACTTAATGCAAACCGCTGCTAGTGGAGTAGGCTACAGCTATTTCTCAATATATCTAACATAAAAATCACAATGTAAAAATCTTAGATTCAATCAATCCTGTATTCATCTCATTCATTCATATGAAGGGCAGGCCTTATTCTAATTTCACAGCAGTCTAATTTAACAGCAATGCATTGCTCATATGTAGGATACTGTAGATCATCCTACAGGAAGACTCTACAGCTGGGGGGGACAGGCCTTTATTATAACAGCGCCTACACAACGCCATGATGTGGCTGCTAAATTACAAGTGATTGTTCATCTTTGTAAAAATGTTGTGCTCTATAAAATCGAGCTTCTTCAGATCCCTAAGCTAACATGCAGAGCGGAGCATCGCTGGTGTCGCAGCATCCTCTCTGCTGCAGCTCTGCCCTTCACGGCTCAAGGACGCCATGATGCTGCGGGAGTCCGGCCTCCAGCATCCGCCCCCTCCTCCCACACACTGCACCGTCCGCTTTCAGAAATAAGACTCTGACAGACACTAATACATAATATGTATGCGTTTATTTCCTTACACAACAACATTAAAGGCCCATTCCTAGAATGTAATTTGGGGGAACTCATCTACAAGCTGCTGTGTGCCGTTAGGTCGCTGTAGTAACATTTCAGACCGGACGACTCGGTTCGTATGACAGACATTTTGATTAGGCTACATCACTCTGCTACGAAAGAACCAGTCGGTCGCCTTATCATCGTCCTCGCAGGCCAGACGTCAAAATATTATGATTCATAGGACTATGGTTAATAATTCCCTCTCTTACACAGAATCGGAACCGCTGAAATTAATCTAATTTACATTAAAGACATTAAATATCCTGACTCACCTGCGTAACCCGCAGCTGGTCTGTCGAGCTCCCCGGGATGCTGGATGCTGAGGTCCGGAGAGGTGCGTCAAGATAGATACAATGGGCCGGAAGCATCCCGAAAATAGACTGTTTCAAAATAAAAGCTAGGGGTATGCGCTTGACTGACATGTTTTTATTTTTTTAAATAGACACCAAAAATGAAACAAATGCATTTCAAATATGTTTACCGTTCATCACACGCTGGCGCGTTCGATGGTTCAAAATCAGGGTAATGGATTCCTCATTGTGGTTTTATTGTGGAATCACAACCGGAAGTTAACTTTAAATCTGTCAAAGATGAAAAGATTACAAATGATGGTGACTTAATTTGAACATGCCATCGACACTGTGCATATTTGTACATAAAATGGTAAACAAAGACCCTAAGGCTACATTTTATTGATCCAAGTGCACCTACTCTCCACCTACCTACCTCTCTCTCTCTCTCTCTCACACACTCACACACACACACACACACACACACACACACACACACACACACAGAAATACACATATTTGGAACTCAGAGGTAACATAAAGTTTTATAAGAATACCTGCTTCTTGTTTAGGCACTACTTTTCTCACTTGTTTATTGTTTTTCTGTTTCCTCAGATTCACTGTGGGTTTGAAACAGTGAATTTATCACATAAAAAGAGAAGAAGTGTTGGGTTTGTTTTGTAGGGTTGTGACTACTCATTCTCATTCTCAGGTTGTAACATGCCACACTCATGTCTCATGCAGACACAGGTACCCTTTAAAGGTGGGGTATACAATTCTGTAGAAATCCAACACCATGATAAATACCATGACATAGTGCAACACCCACGCAGCAAATAATGGAACTAACGTGGGTTGGAAAACTGTGGCTGTATTTGCTGCTGCGAAGATAACATGAAGCTAACATGCAGAGAAGGCGAGACAGTCCCAGAGCCAGCACACCAGCTCAAGGCAACAATACTCACTCACCAGCTAATATAGCTAACATCACAACAACAGCATTGTTGTTGCTTCACGATAGTTATAAATTCTTGGACTAAACATATTCCACTTCTCTGACTGACAAACATTGTCATCAAGTTGTAATTACGCTTTCTTATAATATTGATTTATCTATATTTGTTTGTGATCATATGTACAGTATGTAGAAATGTGTATGCATTATATTCTATCCTTTTGGTCTTATTATTTTCAACCACACGAGATATGTTTGGGACTTGGGATCTCACAGAAATTCACGTGATCAAACGTGACTTCAGACATAAACAACAAACATCCTCAGCTGCTTGCAGTTGTGTGTGGTGTGTTTTGCACTGAAAAACAAAAAAAGAGAATGTGATCCATGAATTTCAGTTTGAGTGATGGATCAATGAGTTTGAAGGTTTATCAGACACCACATCACTGTACGGAGGTTTATAATGTCACAAGGAAGAATTATACAACTCTGAAAATGTATCACACCCACAACTTTTATCTTTTCTTTCATCACAAAGATATCCAGGTAAACAGCAGAAATTTGCCTTTCGCATTATAATACCAGGAATGTATGTTTGTATGCATCTGATTGGCTAAAGTGATGATGTCACATTCACATAACTTTTTTTTGATGAGCCAGTGCTTTTTTCACTAGAAACCTTTTGCACCAAAAAGTGGTCCCATTGAAATGAATAAGGGGGTTGCATTATTTAATACTGGATCATGTCAGTCTGAACAAGACCTAACGTTGTCGAAAGCAACTCTGTGGGAGAGTTGAGGCTGAACCAAAACAGTTGTGGGCCAGAAAACCAAAAGACGCTATAAAGCTCTGTAGACCTGACGGGATCTACAGAGTTGGTAATAAATCTCTATGGGTTCATCACGACTGCACTTACACATCAACATTTGATCCATTGTTATCATATTGATTATAATTCCCTTAAGACTGTATTCTGCCATTAATCAGTCAGGTTGTGGAGATCTAGCTCCCTCTTCATGTTTTATATTACATGTCTGTTCTATATCAAGCTCTGATTAGATGATAATTGTGCTTGTAAGATGCTTATGACACAAAGTGCTACCAAAGCCACTCTTCTAAATGTCCTGAGAATAAAGTCTACCAAATGTGGTTGGAATGGTCCACTACTGGCCAAGTGTTGAGTCAGAACTAACAAGTTCCTGTAGAAAATTTCCTCTTGCAAACAGCCACAGTAAAGTTTCACCCCCTCTCAGTTCCACATGGCGCAGGGTTTAAACCAGGACACTGGCTTGCTTCCAGCAAGCAATTTTGGAAGCATGGAACTCCCATAATGTACATAAATTACTGTGGCACAATTCTATGAGAAACAGCTTTTCAAAGATAGCTTTCTGCCTCATTCCGGAGTGCTATGTGGTTTTCATAATTAGTATGCATTAGAATGTTTTTTCCAAGAGTTTATTTGGTGTGGAGAAGATAGGAGAGCGGAGAGCTGAGGTGCATATGGAGTAAAAGGTAATGACTGGAAGGTACTCTATGGAAAATTGATTTCCATGGACATTTCTCCTTGCAGTTGTTTGGACCTTTACCCATGGCAACTAATACGTAATCAGGCTGCTCGGTTTTCACTATGCAGTTGCAACTACTGACTGTATTTACTGAATCTACAGCAGGCTCAGTGGATAAATGGATGAGTTTTCCAACTACAGGCTAATTCACGCAGCTGTGGTGAATCTTGCTTAAAATGTATAAAGACATAATCAAGTAGTTGTGGAAAGATCCGTCCACTACACCCATTAAAAGGAGTCTTTCTTTTACTTTCGGACTACACAGATGAAGCATGCTTCTAGTCAGGGCTGCAGTCTCTTCTCTCCAGAAGGTGCTGAGTTGTCTGAATTGCCACTACTGGCTGTTGATTCAAGTGCTGTACGTGCTCACTGTCTAGTACCTGTATTGGTGTTTGGTTTATTTTCTCCCTAGCACTACAGACAGTTTAAGAGTTTCAGCCATGTTTTTAAATCTTTATGTATAAATTAGTCAGTCTGTATGATTGGTAGCATAGTGCTCCTGCTGATAAATCGACATCTCTATTTATTCCATGAGTGTTATTGTTATACAATATTTGAAAAATATATGGTGCATCAACAGTTTACTTAACATGAAGTGTGGGTTTTGGGAGGTGGAGCCATACTTGAGACTAAAAGTCAGGTTATTCCCATTGCTTTGATTTTGACCATTCTTTTTAAGATCTTAAATTCTTTAATCTGTCTCCCAAGTTTATGGAAGGGCAATACTCTGAACCACATCAGACGGGAAGGCTCCATCTCATCCAAAACCCTGCAGCCAGAGTCCTCACACTACGTGTGAAGGCAAACGTTAGTCCACTACTTTTACAGCAACACCACTCCTAGAATTCATCAAAAGATCTTTTTATTTTATGCCCTTTTCCTTCTTGGTGTCTTTCATCCATAATAAATCCAGCCCTGCCTTCCGTGAACTGAACACACTCTGCATAGAAAGGAGTGGAAAAAGGAACAAATCCTGCCTCACATTCCTCCTTCTGTTGTGCCTGAGCTTGTATAGCAGATCAGTGCAGCTCTGCTCTAACTATTCCAACCATGCTGATGGGACAATGCTGGACCAAAGGGGCGTGTTATTGAATCATCAAGGGGTTGGGCTGTAAGTGGAGTCTTGCTGATGTGTGTGTGTATTTAGGGAGGAGATGAGGGAGGGTTTGAGGAGAGGGGAGTGTCCATTGGGGGGAAAGGGGAGGAAGGTCTGCCGGCTGCAGCTTGACTGGAGGGTTTCTCTGCCTGTTGTGGCATTCACATCAAAACGCTCATGTGGTAACATCCAGCATCGCTTGGCTTCCCCTGCACACTGGCCTGAGTCCAGGGATTTGAAGTAGACAGGACAGACAGACAGTGAGAAAGAGAGACAAAGTGCATGTATGCTGGAGAGAGATAAGTGAGTTGAGAAGTAGGAGGGGAAAAGAACAGAGATCTAAAGAAACGGAGAATCAGGTGAAAAAGCTCTAATAAGGAATCTAGAAGAACCAGTGGTGAAGAAAAGTTGATTAGCTGACTGTACACTACAAATTCACTGAGATGGCAGCCATGGAAGCACTGGAATCCTCAAGTGCCCATTTCGAGCCTCAAACCCTCACTGAGATCTCAGACGATGAGGTAAACCTCCCACCCTCAGATGACGAAGACGATACCCATGTCCCAGCCAAGAAAGAGGTGTCCACCATGAGCACAGAGGGGGATGTCGCCGAAGACAAGGACGAGGTGGTGAAGCTAGACCCTCAGGTAAATGGGGTCATGGTGCTGTCTTTGCTTGACAAGATCATCGGGGCAGTGGACCAAATCCAGCAGACTCAGACCGGGCTGGAGGTCAGGCAGCAGGAGATGGAGCGTTCAGTGACCAGCATTCAGGGTGAGCTGACCAAACTAGCCAAGAGCCACAACACCACGTCCAACAGTGTCAATAAGATGATGGAGAAGGTGCGCAAGGTGAGCGTCAATGTCAAGACAGTGCGGGCCACCCTGGAGAAGCAAGGAGGCCAGATCAAGAAGCTGGAGAGCAACGAGGCTGAGCTGCTTAAGAGACGCAACTTTAAAGTCATGATCTACCAGGTGAGAGAGTGTATGCGTGTATAAATACAGGTATCAATGTGTGGTTGTAGTTTGTCTGTTTGAGTGGAAGGTTGTGTATGTAAAGTACGCCTTATTGGTTTAGGGATGGGTGTGGCCCAGGGCTGTGCCAAACAGAGCATTGGGATTTTGAATGTCACTGCCACATCACTTTCCCAAAAACCCAGGGGTGGTTTGTTACAAATGAACAGAAAAGTGTTGGTTTGCCAAAGATCTTACTGAGTTTGCTGAGGATATCAGGGAGTGTTTAAAGGTTACCTCAAGGTGTTGCTGTGTGTGTTCAGCTGACCCTGCAGTACCAAAAACATGCCACTTAGAAAGTAATGTTTTTTCTACAGAACAGATAATATTTAAGAAACACAGGTATTCTTAACTCTTCTGTATTGCCTGCTACTTTATCATACATAATCACTCAAAATAAACAAGAATATTCAATATATGCACAGTACGGGCTACGTGTTGCAGCACTGATGCTTCTATAGAATTTATGCATAGAACATATCCTAATCCTCCCCAAATCTAGAAGAACAAACCAGAGTGAGTACCAGCATAATGAAATGCAGTTTAGCATCTTACCAGAAACAGTAGCAAAGGGCATATAGACACTATAGTATAATAATGATATGTACAGTGTGACCTTTAACCCATATTGTAGTATTTAAAGTATAAAACAAATCATGTTTTTATGCTGAAAAACAAAATACATAATCCAATATAACTTGTCAAAAAGACTGCTGGTACACATCCACACCTATGGGAAACAGTTACCGGATACATTACTCACACTTACTTATCGGAAAACACAGCTCCTAGTCATTTTCCAGTTTGGTGTTCTGAGTATTCATAAATGACCTTTTATAAAATAGTACATAAACTTAAATAACATCAAGCTTCTAGCTACTTAGTGTTCACACATTCTCTATGTGGCGCTATGATACATACATGATAAATACATGATACATACATGATAAATACATGATACATACATGATACATACAGACATTTGTTTTAGCAGTTCTGTTAGAAATTATAGGTGTGTGAATGTTAACCTCCCAGATGTAATACACAACCCCAACCACACCTCAAATCTACTGTTCAGTCGTTCAAAACTCTACAGGTGGCATCCAGATATTTATATATATAACCATAGGACTATATATGACTACATGACTAAAGGAAGAATACAAGCCTTCACATGTGAGCCAAGCTCACTAACTGCCCAAGTCATATGGAATCCCTTTGGAAAGTAATTCCACTCTTTTCCTTTTTTAAAACAAAGTGGAAAATACCACAAGTACACTCAAGGTTCTGTTTAAGGCTGAGGAACAGCAGCAGAGGGAAAGGGACAGGAGAGAGGAAGGTTAGACGTTTCATTTGAAAAGACAGAGGGCAAAAAAAATTTCTTTGAGGGGAGTTGAGGGGAGCCGTGTTTCTTTTTTTAGCCTGTGAGGCTGCAGTGTGATGTGTAATAGCTTGCAGCTTTTTGCAAAGTGGCGCGAGAACATTCAGAGTTTCCACCCCTGACTCAGACATCATGGCTTGGACCAGCTTCACTCTCTCTGTCTCTGTCAGCTGGGCAGAAGTCAAAAGAGCTCAGTTTCAAGCAACCCAGACTGTCTGACTGTGGATTGTTGTGCATTATTCTTCTAACATGCTTACACAATATATTTTACTCCCTTGTCCTTGGCATACCAGCACAAGATTTTATATATAATGATCCGCAGATGAGCAGGGCAGAGTTCTCTGTAAGAAATTGCTAATAATCTGTGTCATCACATCTGAAGGAATTTGATGACTGAACTGTTTCTCAATCTAAAGGGATCATAAACAATATAATTAGTATCAAATAAGGTCTTGAAGCTAAGGGGCTTCCGGTCTACAAACTTCCACACAGTTAAAAACAGAACGGGTTGGGATTTTGCTAGTGTGAGCCAACAGCTTGGCCTGTGGCAAGAGAAACTCCCCCTGAAATGCCAATCTCTGTCTCCCTCTCTAACTCAAAACACTGGCTTTGTTTATGGTTGCCAAGTATGACAAAACGTTAGATTCATCTTCATTAAAAAAGAAAAACCACAATATGTTGTTCTGTTTTCAATTTTCTGTGCTCCTCTGTTGCCCTTCAGATTCTTTCAAAATCAGCAGTAGACAGAGAAAGATTCCACCCCCCGTGAACTTTAACACTGTTTATTTGGTTACATGGACAGTGTATGAACACAATAACACTTGGCCTTTGTTTGGACTCATTAGTACTGTCGATACCTCCATGCAAACGCAAATCTGCAGTAGTAGTATCAGTAGTTCTAGTAGTAGTCTGTATTTGTAGTCCAAAAATGATTTTCACACTGCTGTGACCCATTAAAGGGTTTCATTGCAAGCACAGAAATAAATCCAAACCAAAGTAATATTATTAGCCAATAATTTTATCAGATATTTTGGTGTATCAGTTATATTTGTGTATATGTTAGAAGAGAAATGTCAAAGATATGTTTGAGGTCATTTAGAAGCAGTGTCTCCATCACAGTGCGTTCACCAGAGAGCAAGTTTATTTTACAAATCTTGGGCACAATTCTTTAATGACCAAGCATAAAGATAATAATCAAAAATGTACTATGTCATGCATTGTTTAATAACAAATACTTACAGAGAGTTTGAGCTAATTTTGCACCTTTAAGTACACTCAAGTACAAGAACATCAAGATAACAATTCTTCCAAATTTACAATGTCATTATTTGTATCAATGGTGTACCAGTACAGTGTGTACGAATCAAGCGTGGACCCCCACCTCTGAAAAGTGAAGCCTCTGTGAAAGTGCCTCAAAACATTCTCTCTGATGGCCAGCAGGGGGCCACTCCAATGGTTTCAAAGAGAAGTCCAATTGTATAGAAGTCTATGAGATACTTCTCAGCTGATTTATTACCTCAGTAAGCACTTTCTTCAGTTGTTAGTTTCAAGTCTTCTTCAACACAGCATGATGTTCATTTAGTAAATGATGGTCCCATTTAGTGGAAAATACACATTAAAGCAGGGTATATTTTGCCTTGTGATTGAGAAGTTGCTAACATGGCAACCTGTCAGGTGTAACAATACCTATCCCACCTCAGCTTCACCCTCTCACCCAAATATGGTGACTTTTGGTTCCAAAAAACCAAGGTGGCGATGGCCAATATGCCAAACTCAAGGCATCAGAGCAGTAATCCACAAATGGGTAACGTCACGATGGCTACTTCAACTTTTTTGATATACAATCTATGGTACTGATACATACATGTAGGTACAAACGAACAGTATGTGAAGTTAGGGATTAAGGGTGTAATGCTGTGGGAATTTCTACTGTGTGGGTACCTATTCTGATATTGGTTATTATTGATTACTGTGGGCAAAGTGTGTCTTTCCATAGCTCTTTGGTGCTTCTTTAATGATCCCATTTTTCCAGTGTCTCTGAATTGACCTTTATACCATTGAAGAACAAGGTCATTTCAAAGACACTGCAACAAAGAATAAATCACAGTGTCTTCTTCCTGACACCAGCAGCATTCTTGCTACAGCACTAGATCTTAAAATGGTTTTAATTCAGCTGGTATTATTAAAGAATGCACGAGAATTATATTTTTTCACTCCCACAGCTAGAATCTCCTTACGTCAACATCAACGTTCCAATGTAGGTGTAATAATCTTATCCACTGGGGGTTCATGACCTAATATGAGTCTATTTGTGGTTTTGTGAGCCTAACAACCTAGCAAAATATGTTGTTTTCTGATAGCTTCCAAACATTATTCCAAAGTGCTTCTCACTTTTCAGTCCATGTGAAGTGGGAATTAGATTCGGACACCCCTGATTTGTAAGTGAAAAGCCCTGCCCCGGCAGTCTGCTGAGAGCACACTGTTATTGAGTGGTGTTTACTGTTACAGAAGGCCAGCTCACGCAGGGAGGACACAGCGCGAGGGCTTTGTAGTGGAGCATAGGGTGTTTAATCTCTGCTTTATTAGCGGCTGTCGACCCACCAGTCTTCTCCCCACTCCCTCCTGGCCACACTCCTCCCTACACAAGTGTGGTCCTAACAAGGCTAAGACTGATGGGATTTATGTCTTTGTTGATCTTTATTTCTCATGAAAAAACAATGTCATGACTACAAAGGCTTCCTGGTAGTCTACAGGAAGACATAGTGACCTGGTTCCACACAAGCATGCATGGATGTGTTTCTACCTTGGTTCAATTGTGTTTTACCATTATAGTATTTTTTTTTGACATGCCATTAATCACATTACATTATTTTTCATTCTAGCACAAATTATTATGATCAGTCAAAATTAAGTATCAGTCAAACACCAATCAAAACCACCTGTGTTTAATGGCAGCAATACTACAAACAATACCCCTCAAGGCCACTGGTATGCTGGACTAGCTTAGGCTACTGTATCATGCGTAAGTGGAAACTAATCAGCAGCCGCTCTGTCAGCACATCAGCTGGACGTGACTGTCTCCCTGTTAGCATGAACACCTGTCCTCCTCTGGGAGTGTATGCTTATGTCTGCTGGGGTGTGTGTGTCTTTGGCTCATTTAAGTCTGAATGTTCAGTAAGACTGAGATTTACTCCCTTACATCTGTGTTCAGTTCCTTGACAACTGAGAACATGTGCTGCCAGAGAACCGAGGTTACCGCACGTACCTGGAATGTGATAACACTGTGTATGTGAGAGAGAGAATCAGAGCGAGCAAGTGATGCAAATATTGGTTCAATAAAGCTGTACTATCCAGTTCTGATCCTATATCAAGACATTTTTATAATAATATGAACACAATTAATAATGTGTGTAATGTTTAGGGGGTCGAAAAGCCACTGAGAATGATAACCAACTCTATAGTTCCCTGCAGCCCTGACCATTTTTTTTCAGCTTATTGTTTTGATTTTCTGGCCTACAACTCTAGCCTCAACAAACCCCTTTTGAGATCCAGCAGAAAGCTAAATTCAGCAACAATCAGC